AAACAAACAGCCTAGCAGAAAGCCTGACAAAGAAAGCCTTTCTGCTGTTACACAGCACAAAACGCAAAAAAACCGGCTGTATGCGATATGAGATTGGGCATATGTCCAGCGCAATAGCTAAGAAACTTGACGTGATGACTAAGAAGCAGCTGTACAAAATATCACAACAAATACCTGATAATAATCGGGAACAACTTTAGCATCGACAGGCTTCAAAAAAGGCCACGAAAACTGCTGCCGCATCGCCTCACTGACCAGTGGCTCAAAAGCACGTAATGCATTTCGTGTTCGATTATCGGTTTCCCGCAAACTCATTGTCACAACTCTCTGGATCTGTGCACCAGTATTATCTAAAATCCTCTCGTATTTACGGTACAAAAATTTTTCGATCGTTTGTTAAAAAAAAAATTCCCGAAATCCTAAAGGTAGCGAACTTCCTATAACTAATTATTAGAATTATAAAAAGGTGAATTTCTAGCCAGTACTAACTTGAGCGCGTGCGCTTCGGATATCTGTATTCACTGTTATAGACTTCATCATTTTCAATATGCGTTTTTTTCCTTGTTTGTCTGTCTTCTTCACTGTACGACCTCTCCAAATATTCCACCTGAAAATTTTGCATTCAGCTAGCGAAAGATAAAGGATAACAGAAGAACAGAACAAACTAATGAGCAACCACAGCGAAAATGATCGCTAATATAAAAGCAACCGACAAAACGTTACAAACAGTGGCAACTACTAAAAATCGGCTTCACTCGGATTGATCTGCGAGTTACAAAAACTGCTAATGGTAGTGGGATACGACACCCCCAGTTTTTCGCCCCTTTCCAGGAACTCAGATAGCAGCTCTTTTACAGTAGAAAATATCGAGGCTTCTGTCCTAAATTGCAAAAAATCTTAATGATTCAGATTTAACAGAAATTACTGCAGGAAAAAAAAAAAACAAAATATTCTTAAAAAAGATAGTTCCGACGCTTACCTTTTTAACAATGCGTCCACTGGAAGTTTTCAGCATCTCTGGTGGAAGTTGGAACCTAAAAGCATCAAAAATACCAGTACCGCTCGGACTACCAATGAAAAATCCTAAAGACTAATATCTTTTTTTTCCTCTTTTCACTGCTTCTTTCGTTTTACTTACAATTTTTTAACATGTGTCTTATGCCGCGTAAAACGTAAAAAAAAATAAGCGACAGAATAAGTGAAATTAGACATACTCTTCATCGGAAGATGACTGTTCAACAGACTCATCAGCTGTTGTGCCAACTTCTTCATCGCTTTCTTCGCAATCACCCTCTTCTACAAATAAAACTATTTTTCAACTCGACCACTCACTTTCGTGACAAACCACTCACATGCAAATGCAATGCTTATGTAACGAACGTACGTCTGCATCCCCGTTGCCGTTTAAATTTTATATAAGTGAAAAAAAAATTAAAGTAAAAAAGTATAGCGTGGAAAGCCGAACGATTTTTTTTTATTTGGATACCAGCAAGGTCTGTTTTCTGGCCGACCTGTGGTCACAACATAATATTTTCGATCAGTTTTATAAGTTAGTTATCGCTGCCCTCTTGCTACAACCGGATTTTGATGAAAAAATCAACATGTTCCAAGTTAATCTTTCTACAATCACTGGTTGTTTGATGCGGGGGCAGTAAAAATAAGTCCTAGTGCAAGTCCACGCATACAGTCTTGACCGGTAATTTTAAAGCGCGTAGAGAAGATTGAGCAAAAGGGCAGTTGACAATGGTAAGGCAGAAGGAACCGACTGGCAACGCGCACCAGAATAGCCGGTGCGATCATGCGTTTTGTGCAATTCAGCCCATCGAACGATTATTCACTGCTTTGTACTTTAGTCTATGCAAAAATAGTTCAGACATTGAAAAACAGTTAAAAATTTCATCCTGTTAATGATTTTCACTGCTTCGTACTTCAGTCTATGCAAAAATAGTTCAAACATTGGAAAACATTTAAAAATTTCACGCACCTGCGCATGAAAGCAGAATTCGAAACCTTGAAGGATGAATATCTTTCCGTGATTCCCGAGTTAATAGTTTATCCGTCAAAAATCTCTCGAGGCCGTAGGTGGTAACCGGGAGCGCGAGAACGTTGAATTTGAATGGGC